GAGACAAATGATCAAAGGCTTGACAGTGAAAAGAGACACAGAAATAAAGTCACAAACATGGAGCCGATGGAAAGAGGGGAGGAGATCACCGACACATTAAGGTAGAGTGTATTGCATGTTTTTTTCTTCCTTTAGTGACTGATCATTTATTTCAGTTCCCGATGAAGAACATGCAGAGACTTCATGATAAAGTTGTGTTGTCACAAACCTTTGAGACTGAAGGGATTGCTGACAGTTTACTACCACGGATATTATTTTAAACATTTAAGTTACTACACTTTGTCAGTGTTTGGTCATTATTAGTCTGGTGGGTGATTTGTAATAGCGAGTCCAAATGAGAGAGACAGATAATGCTTTTGCCATTTGCAGTGAGATGAGATTTGGCTGCCTGGTAACCATGGTTAGGAAACCAGGTAACCATGGTTACCAAGCAGCCAATGTCAATGTCTGTTCTAAATACATTTTTAAATTAAACCAATACCTGTTTTCTGAACAACCGTGCTTTACCAATGGTTTTGTTTTGAAGGAGGAAGTTACTTCAGCAAAGAAAAAAAACATATATTGCTGAACTCGGTCCAGACCAACTAGAATTTTTGGAAAGACCAATGACCATGTCTGAGACCAAGTCACATACCAACAAGTACCACATGGAGAATAGTCAGATCTGTATAATAATACCTTTGACAACAACTGTCTCAAGGATTGTTGGATGTTCACAGTACTGAATTTCAAACAAACTGACTAGCTTTTGTTCTCTGTAGCCTCAAAAGGAAACCAGGATCATTATTTTACTGTGTGAAAAAGAAGCCATGTCTTTGGGAGAAGCCACAGCCTGAGTTAGAACACGTGGCAGAGGAGCTGAATCCTGAGAAACAAACGCCGTCCTCCGAGAAGACCAAGCAGGACAGCAGCAGCCAGATAGAGAAACCGGGTGACACGGCTCAGCGATTCCTCACCAACCTCACCTGGACCCACTCACTCCCCTCCACCCAGACTGTGATGGTGTCTCCACTGAGCCGGACAGAAGGGCCGCGGAGCAGACTGCTGCCTCCAGAGAAGAGTGACCGGGAAGCTAACGTGCAGAAGCTTGCTGGGTTGGAGAAAGAGACCCAGAGGCTACGGAGGCTTCTAGGTCTGGAAATCACAAAGACCACTCAAGGCACGATGACGACTGCTGATAGCAGCGCTGACAAGCCGAACGGAGAGCAGGTGACGCCACCAGCACCCACAGCAAGGAGAGAGGTCGCCTGCCAGACTGACGTGGCTGAGGTCAGCAGAGTTTATACCCCAGGTTTTAGTCCATAATAATGGCAGTAAATTCCTAAACTCAATGTAAATTGTACGTTAAAACATATTAATTTTCTTTGAAGCAGTTTAGCCACACATAAATGATCTCGTAGTACCTTTTAGTTGATGTATTGTAATATTGTCAAGGGCAGGACTTTGTGTGTCAGTTTTTATTCAAATTGTTACTGACCTTAAAGGAAAAGCAGCTAATTAATATTTTGCAGCATATGTATAACAGTTCATTTTAAATGTTTTTTTCTACAATGTGGATTTCCTAAAAAATGGTATCAGGTCCCATGCTCATATTTTTTCACTGTAAGGAAAATTATACTGAATCTAGCTGTTAAAATATATCCCAAGTAATAAGACACAGTTTAGTTTTTAACTGGTTAGGGTTATGAAACTGTCTCAATTTATAACTGATGCCTCTATATGACCAACATAAGCACACAAGATTGGTTATTTCTATGTAGTTATATTGCTAGTAGGATTCCCCATGTAATCAATGACACTACCGCTTTTGTCCAAAGGGGCCGCCAGAATCAACAACAAAAAAGAAAGTTCCTTGTTGCTGCTTCAATTAGAAAATATTGAAAAGTTGACTAACACAGCTCATGTGCTCTGTTTGGTATATTAAAATCAGTGCTTAACTAATATTTAAATGCTTTATTTTCTCCATTACAAGCTGTGCGAGGGTTAGTGTCATGGCAACAGTAATGTGACCAAAACAAACACATATAAGCAAGGTGCTTGAAACAGAAACTGCCAATGTGACCTCCAATGAGGATCTAAAAACAAACTTTAATCTTCTGTCCTCCGTCTGCATCAGAGCTCTACTTCATCCAGCAGCCGGGCCCAGGCTCCTGGACTTCAGGAGGTGGTGGTCCAGGATCAGAGAGCCGTATGCGGGCCGAAGGAGCAGCCTGAGCAGAACAGATCGAGGAGGGAGAAGACAGAAACTCAGAGCAGGAGGAGAGCCAGTGACAGCGAGGCCTGTGAAGACAGCGGGTGTGTATTGTACACAGACATGACAAACAGTTGCTTTCAGATATAAACATCTGTCTCTATATACCTACAGTATAAAGGTATTTCCTGTAGCTGGCAGGATTACGTTTGTGTGCAGGGGTGTGAATGCTTCTACAGAATTTAACAGATAAACCAATCCAAACAATCTTAGTATGTATGTCTTTACCAAGGCTCTACTTCTTCTACTCTCACTTCTCCCAAGGTTTTTATAGTCATTTAGTTTAGTTTAGTTATTTTGTTCTCCATTTTGCTGATGCGTAACAGAGTTTCACCTGAGTGACTGAAATGTTCCCCTATGCTGCTATGTCTAACTTGAATTTCTCCTACGGGGGATCAATAAAGGTACATCTTATCTTATGTTTGATCATTTTAATAATGAAGCTGTTCCGTTCCAATCAGTCTGTCGCAGGAGAGTCTGCGTGGCATCCGCAACAACGTGGTGGTGCTTCTCACTGCCCTCCTGCCCCAACTGGACCTGGCTGGCATCAGTCTGGACACCCCCGACGTGGACAACATCCTGCAACAGATCATAGAGGTCAACTCTCTGAAACTATGATCGATTACTGTTGGCAGACACAGGTTTTTCCCGTATTCTTACGCAAAGTCTGAACCAAAATATAAAGTATATTGTAATAATTGTCTTTAAATGCTCACTTGGAAGGTAATGTGGTTTCTCACATTATTGTTCTATTACTTGTGGTGCTTGCCGATAAACTCTTATGTTTTATATGTCCTTAAGTTAACTGGTTTGCCATCTAGATATAACCAACAATGTACAGCTGATTAAAGGAACTCAGTTTGCCTCAAATTACACTGTAGACGAGAGCACATGCTAAGAGAGAGTTTTTATAGAAATCTGTGAAAAAAGTAGGAATTTTCATAGTTTCTTTATTTTGCATTAAACAAAGAAAATTATACTTTAACTTTGTTGGAAAACAACAACAGCACTGTCTCTAATCTAAAAGATGTTTGATCCAGGAATTTAAAGTTTTACTGTTAAGAGTTGTAACACACTGGTTATCAAGCTTTCATTGGCTGCACACACAAATTGCTAACTAGTGGCAGTTTTTTGTCACATCATTTTGAATACATTGTGTTTGGTGCTCGTCCGTTTAAAGAAACTTTATTGTGTGCCTGCCTGCCTGTATTGCTGACCCTTAAATCTGAAATTGTCTCTGTTTGTTCTGCTTCTGTTTTTATTGACTTTAATTTAAATTTGTTTTATACACATGTGGCATCTGAGTGAGTCGTGGAGTAATGCTTGTTTCTAGATTTGTTCACATATCCTTAATAAACAAGACTTTTTACATTTGCATTAAAATACTGAAACCATATATTGTACACTGCCTCTTTATTTTCAGATGGTTAAATAACAATGCGCTCCCAATACAAAATGCACAAATCATGCAGTACATGTTATAAGCCACAAGATGGCAGTGAAGCCAAATAATGAAAACATCCTTCTCCCACTCTACTAACTTTTGGCCAAGACATCAGTTCACTGAATCAAGTAAAGGACATTAAATTATATTGTTTGTCGAGTGTAATGTGATTTATTATTGTATTCTAGTGTATTAAAGCTGCAGTAGGTGACTTATAAAAACTTTTTTATCATATTCGGGTCCCTATTTTTAAGCCATCAATAAAAGTTACCTACAGCAGCTTTACCAGCACACCACACAATCAACCATCTGTGGAAATGTGTCATATTCAATCATAGTTACCGTTGTCCCATATTTGCTTGTGAAGAAGCAGACAGGAGTATGTTTGACTGTCTGTCTCTCTGTAGTATAACTATACCCACAAGGGTGCTGCTTTAAAATAAGCCACACTTTATAAAAAGTGTATTAAATTGTAATTAATGGCTATATTAATGTTTGTTTAATTATATACTAATGGTTTGTAGATCAGTTATAACCCATTCATAACAACAATTATTTGTTTGGTGTTAACCATGTCTGTTTTGTAATGATGCAGTTATTAAGGTTGGCAATCCATCAGTTAAAGGAGCAGTGTGTAGGAATTAGTGGCATAGCCGTTTAGTTGCAGATTGCAACTCCCTCGCTTCACCTTCCAGTTCCAAGTGTGAAAGAGAAACTATGCAGCATCTGTAGATATAAATACTACATACTAGGTAACAAAAACATAATGGTTCTTATTTTCAAGTAATTACACACTAATGAAAACATATGTACATATTCCATTTCTGCCAATAAATCCTCCTTAATGTTGCACAATGTTAAAAAAGTTGTTCATAAAGGGATATGACTATATGATCCAGCAGTAACATGCTGGAGTAGGATAAACACCAGACAGAGGAAGTTTTCACAATCTGGCAACCCAAAATGTGTCCTTATTAATGGTTTAACTATCTATGGAGCATTAAAGGATTAAATAACTATATTAAATAAGTTGTGAAGGTATCAGTTCCAACAAACAAAAACCAAACAACAAAACAAAAAACTTTTTTACAATGGATGCCTTTTTACAAAGTGGAAGAAGGCAGGTATTTATGTGTATTTTATGAGCGTATTATGCAGCAGCATGATGAATCCAAGACAAATGTACATAACTCTCCTGTGATGTTAGCAGAGCGGGCACTAACCCCCGCACCCACCCGCGCACTTCCAGCCACCCTGTTACTCGTCCTCTCTCCACCCCACCTCCCTTTATATAGCTCAGCCCACAGGAGGAGCAGCAGAGCCGGGCCAGTGTTTGACCCGGGACACGGTGGAGCTGACAGGTGCGATGACAGCGAGACTTCTGCCGCTGCTGCTGCTGTGCTGCTCGGGCAGAGGAGCGGAGCCCCCCGCCGCCGCTGTTAGAGACTATTATATAGCTGCTGTGGAAATCGGCTGGGACTATATCTACCTGGACGATGCTGACCCAGCGGCCGAACAAAGGTGAATATGTGTTTGTTTAACTTAGCCAACACAAATTTAGACCTCTCTGACATTTTCCACAGGCTGGCCTGTTAAATCACTTGTAACTGCCAACAAGGATTATGGCTTCAAATACAAGTTCATGTTTGAGGGGAATGGAGGGTATTTAATGACACATTTTAAATAACTTTTTTTTATTTGAAATGAACTATAAGTCAGTTACATGTTGTATGTAGTCTGTTTACAGCTTAAATATCTTTTTGGGGAGTTATAATGGGTAAGATTGAATAAGAGGGGTGTTTTTAAGTGTTTCATTGTCTGTGTTGTGTTTTTTTTAGGAGGAGATCCAAAGATATTCCTCAAAAATACATCAAGGCAGTTTACAGGGAGTATATAGACTCCACGTACTCTGTCCCCAAGCCAAGGCCAGCATGGACAGGTAAGTCTCCTTTTTTGATTCTCTGAATAAATTAAATATTCCCGTACATAAATTATATCTCATAGCCTTAGTGGTTTATACACATAAGCACCGGTTTTTGAAACAATATAAAACAAGAATGACCAGAATTGTCAAATTAAAGGTTTATATAATATTTAGTTGTTTTACTGTGAAGACAGTGATTGGAAGAGCATATAAATAAAGTGTTTGACTGACTTATCAACACAAATATTAGTTTATAATAGTTAGATCTGTTTCAGAGCTTCTTTAGATTTCTTTGAAATTAGGGGTCATATGCTGTCTATGTCTTCTTGTGGTTGCAGGTATTCAAGGCCCGGTGATTGTGGCCCAGGCTGGCGACAGGGTGGTGGTCCACTTCAAAAACCTGGCCTCTCAGCCCTACAGTATCAGCCCTGTGGGGATCTCCTACTGGAAACAGTCTGAAGGTAGAACTTTTTTTTACTTTCTCTCATGCACTCAGCATCTCACACTAAAGATTAGTCAGCAGCATCATCCTTCTTCTTGTTCATTTTTGACTCAGCATTTTGACTCATAATCTCTATTATAAGTCCATGTTACAGCGTACATGAGTCATTAAAACAATAAACTGCTACTTTAACAACCTTAAATAGAAATAGAAATATTTTCTTACTCACATGCTGTTATTTTATTCGGGGCCAGAGAGAGCGGAGAAGACATTTGGGGGAAAGGCAAGGTTGTAAGTGAATCATATCAGAAGCTAACAGTGTAGTAATAATCACTAATTCTTCAGTTAAGAGATAAAAATGTGTAAATTGTATCAGAATCATCAGGAAAAAAAGTTGCTCGTTGTTCTTTAGAAATCGCAGCAAGCAACCGTTATCATTATCTTGCGTGTGCAGATATTCTGTCAGAGCCAAATGGTCAGTCTTGCAGAAGTTCTCGAAACAAAACACACACAGAATATAATGTGGTTAAAAAATCTTATTTTAGGTGCCTTTGAATTACAATACCTGACTGCAAAGGAAATAACTTAATATCCCTGATCTGAGAAGCTTTTGGAGGTTAATACCCTTCGCAGAAGGCATTGGCATACGTCCTAATGCGGCTGTACAAAGCTGTCTGTAAACGGTTCCTCTTCCTGCCACAGGGTAGATTCCTAAAAAGGAGTTCATAATAATCTGATAAACTGCACATGTCACGTCCAGGAATGAGCCATCACAAAGCAGTTCTAATCTCACAAACCTATAGTGTTAGGGGGAAGGAAAATATTGCTGCCTGTGGGTGGGTGTGTGTGCACATGTCTGATATCATTATTGCACATTGCCATGAGTCAGTGCTTCTCCTGAATGTGGTTTTACAGCAGCATACAGTACATTGTGGTCTTACTTTCACCTTTATTCCTTATTTTTATAATTAAAGTGTCTATTTTAAACATTCCCAAAACACATGTTATGTCACTTTACGTGTCCTGCAGTGTCACTACAGGACTTTTTGTACTTAAGTATAGTATCTTTCAATATAATCACTGTCCTATTTCACATTAGAGCAACTTACACGCATTATTGTGACACCAGTTGTTCCACTTTGATTCACCTTTACTGTTGAATGAAACAGAGGATTCATGCTGTGTCTGTTCTTTCCAGGAGCTGGGTATGATGACTCCACAGCAGGCCAGGAGAAAGAGGATGATGCCGTCTATCCTGGAGGATACTATGAGTACGTGTGGGACATCAGCCCCAAAGACGGTCCCACCAAAAATGACCCTGAGTGCCTCACCTATTCCTATTCATCCCAGGTGGACACAGTCCGAGACGTAAACTCAGGACTCATTGGTGCCCTGCTCATCTGCAAAACAAGTCAGTGTGCTTTAGGGCAAATGCCAGCTTTGATTTATTGTTGTCTCGCACATACACAGCATCTAATTTCACCTTCAAACATATATTATGTCTTGTCAATTGAGTCTTTATATCAGTTATTGTTCTTTAAAGCTCTCATCCTTTCAAAACGCGAGAGTTGAAGTTAGAAGCTGAAATTTTCCCATTGGTTAAATTAAACCACATTTGTTTCTAGATAAGTGACACTAGACCTAAATACAGTGAAGGAGGCAATGATAGAAATATGAGGTGATAAATAATATGTAGCCTGGCCCTTAGCTGAAAAGTGGCATCTAGCTGTAGCTGGTTAGCCTAGCCTATTCTCATACCTCAGCCAAATTAATATTGCTACCTAGTGTCCAACATCATGAAATGAATTCATTCAGGTTTGACAGTTAATTAAATTAATGTCTTAAAAATTATCTTTGGCTCTGTCCATTGACATCAAATTGACCATTTGACTTGATTGAGATAATTATTGCCTTCAAAACAAATATTTTAAAACCAGTGTCTTAGAGTTAGTCTACAGCCATGCTAGCAGCTCTTGAGTCTGTTCTTAGGAACTTATGCTATATGCTAACGTGCTAACATTGGCAAAGTTAACATGTCGATGTTAAGCAGGTTTATTGTTTACCATCCCAGTTTAGCATGTTAGCATCACATGACCTAACATTTTAGTTAGCAATAAACACAAAGTACATCTGAGGCTACTGAGGCTGTCAGTAGTTTTGCAGGAATTTGGTCATAAGCCAAAGTTTTGGATAAATAACAGTTTTGACCACATGGTGACGCTGCATTAGAAATTAGGAATCACCAAAGCGACTTAAAACCACTAATGTGAAACTTATTGTGGCGTGAAAGGGAAAGTCAGGGGTGATATTTCGGTCTGGATATATATTATACATACTGTTATTGGTCTGGACCAAAGTGGTGGAAAAAACGCACTGGATAGAGACATTAGTGCTGAACAAGGTTTATCTCAGTCTATAGGAAATGGAATTTAATAGGAAATAGAAACAGATGTTCTTGATGTTCCTGTAATATTAGGCCGCACAATAGCATTGCAATCATATTCTCTCATCTTGCTCACATATATTACGTGTGTGTTTTTCCAGGTGCCTTCACAGCTGGCCAGAGGAAAAATCCAGCATTTGTCCTGCTGTTTGCGGTCTTTGATGAGACCAAGAGCTGGTATGGAGAGGCGGGAGAGAGGAAGAGCAGAGAGAAGTTCAAGAGGAGCAACGACAGGAAGGAATACCACACCATCAATGGATATGTCAACTCTACTTTACCCGGTAATGAACCAGATCGGCTGTAGACAGAGTTTGTTCCATGTCATGTAATGTGAAGTGTTGCTAACACTGTGTATCAGTGGCTGCGTTGTATGTGGTCCACACAGGAATTTGGCCTCATTTTCGCTCTCTGTCTCTCTCTCTGTGTGTGTGTGTGCGCAGGTTTGAAAATGTGTCAGGGGCGTAATCATGTGTTTTGGCATATGATTGGGGTGGGCACAGCTCCAGAAATCCACTCCATTCAGTTTCAGGGTCACTCTCTGCAGGTAATTCAAGTTCTCACATAAAAAATGTCATAGCAAACAGATTTAAAGGTTAAAGGAGATTAAACTTCTAAATGAAATATTTTACTGGCTACTTTATACAAAAAAAAAGATTTCCCTCTCACAACCCAATTTAGCATTTTCTGTCTGTCAATCTAATACAGTTGCTTTGTTTTTTAGGTGTTGACCCATCGTAAAGTCACTATGGAGGTGACCCCTATGACGTTCACTGCTGCAGAAATGAGACCTGCAACTATAGGCCGCTTCCTTATCAGCTGTCAGATACATGCTCACCGCCACGGTAAGATAAGTCTCCCAGACCTATCACAATCTGTTTTCCTAATTAAATTGATTTCATCTCCTTTATTTAAATGCTAACTCACGTTGTTGCTGTGCACTTTCTGCTCTATCCAGATGGCATGAACGCTTTGTTCACAGTGGAGAAATGCAGTGACCCTGACTCTCTGCCAGGACCTGACCTGCGTAACGCCAAAGAAAAGGAAAACTACAGTGATGATGACTACAGTGATGACTACAGTGAGAACGCATTCAATACCATAAGCTTCCAGTCTCTGAAACCTCAAGTGCAAGCCAGAGCCAGCAGGGGACAGCAGTCTAAAACCTGGGAGCATTACATCGCTGCTGAAGAGGTCACCTGGGACTACGCTCCTCATCTCAAACCCACAGACAGGTAGGCGAGATGGAGGAAGAGAAGGAAGAAGAATAACAGAAAGTGAGTTGATTCTAACTGATTGTTTCTTTTGTCTTTGCCACGTCAGTGAGTTGCAGTCTGAATATTTGCCTTCCCATCACCTGGGCTACAGGTATAAAAAGGTGGTGTATGTGGAATACACAGATGGGTCTTTCACTCAGAGGAAGAACCCTGAAAATACACTGCTTGGTCCACTTCTGAAAGGAAAAGTCAATGATCAAATCTATGTGAGTGGGTCAAATGTTTGAGGACAGAAAGTTGGCCACATTCAACCTAAAACAAGATAAATTATCAATCATAGAAAATCAGACTTTGTATGGCTTTTTCCTGATCTCCCATTGGTTTGAATTCTCCAGATCACTTTCAGAAACCTTGCCAGTCGCCCTTTCAATATCTACCCCAATGGCCTTACCAAGATCTTTCCACTGCGGAGATCCACAAATGGTAAGCTTAAACATGAACATAAACCAACATACACCACTAATGTCTTCTTAATTTTAATTGCTTTTCTCAATATTTGACTGGCTTTAACTAAAAGATAACAAATATATGAAGATATCGATAACAGCTGAGTGTGGTTTTATTAGGTTAGCTATTTATCTATGTTTACTCCCTAGAGTAGGCATCAAAATATGTTACAAGGAGAGAAAAGAGAGAAACAGAAATATTTTACATATACCGAGATAGAACAATATACACAGGGTCACAGGATTAGAACTGCTTGGTGTTTAAAGACTTCCTCACGCAAAGATGAAGCAGTACAAGCTTGCAGATATACTCAAAACCTGTAATTCTGCCAAAAAAATTGTATGTAATTGTGTTATTGCTCTCTGTTGGTCTTATTCTCATTTTATTTTCTAATATTCCCCAAATTCCCAACATCAAAGTTTCTTCTAATCTCATCAAATTAAGCAGCTGCAGAGAAGGACTTGCGCACCATGGGAGTGCCCCCCAATGGGACTTTTGGCTACATTTGGAGACTAACAACAGATGATGGGCCTTTGAATGGAGACCCCGAGTGTCTGACCCAGCTGTACCAGAGTACCGTCTCCCCAGAGAGGGACTTGGCCTCAGGGCTGGTGGGCACCCTACTCATCTGCAAGGACGAGGCCATCGACATCAGAGGACGCCTGGTGAGAATAATATATATGCTCGAGCTGCAGACGTAGCAGTTTCTACAGGATAGTCGCCTAAAAGGATGCAATCCAAAAAGATCAAGACTGCAACGTTGTCTCTCACTAATGTAAATACCCTGTTGTCTCTTTTACTAAATCTGTTGTTGCATGCAGCTTGGCCCAGATAAAGAGTGGAGGGTGATATTTGCTGTGTTTGATGAGAACAGAAGTTGGTACATCAACGAAAACATGCAGTCCAAGTCCAACCAAAACACCACCGCCCCCGAATTCTACAACTCCAATGTTATTTACAGTAGGTTCACCTCAGAGTTACATTTGTATATTTACTTCTTCTGTATGTTTTCTTTTGTTTTATCATTGTTAGTGGAATAATCATCACTTTTGTGAAATAAGGATAGAATTAATAATGTAAAGTTGAACATTTACAGACATTAGCATTCACTTGGAGTCCTGGTTCTGACCACCTGACAAATGTAAATCCAATATTCACTCTGGTTTTGGTCTCTACCAGCTCCTGGGGGCAATATGTGCAATTTATTTTTAGCGGCTAAGCTAAACTATCAATTCCAAAAACGCTGAATTTCCGAATACTTCCAGGTGTAAACGGCATCATGTTCAGCGGTCGCCAGTTTGTGATATGTAAAACTGACGTCACCTTCTGGCACGTGGCCAGTGTGGGCACCCAGAGTGACTTCCTCTCTGTGTACTTCACGGGAAACCTGTTTCAGTACCAAGGCCTCCACCAGTCTGTCCTCACCCTCTTCCCAATGACTGGCGTGACCATTCCCATGGAACCCGAGGTGATGGGTAAGACTGATGTTTTAGTCATTTAAACTTGTCTCTTAAACCTCAGTAACTGTTAGCTGGAAGTTTTGAATGGTTCTACCTTGGCAGCTTAGCTAGGCTAATTACATTGTACACACAGCAATCTAGTATAGCTATATTTGTACTGGAGTACTAAAGAATTGACATCATCGATGCTGAGAAATAAGACATATTGCCATATTTCCCTAAAAAGCTGACGTGTGGGATAATGGGTGAAGGTGTATTAACATAATACGTGCCACCAGTGTGTGTTGCTTTTGAATCATATCAATTCTTTCCTGTGTCTTCTCTAAGGTGAGTGGGAGATCAGTGCCTTTGATGGCAGCCTGAGGAGCCGGGGAATGAGCATCCATTACACCGTTCGCCCTTGCGACAATGGAGATCTACCACTAGTCGATCGTGATGGGCTTGAAGACGATATCTCTGACTATATTGATCATATAGATCCGAGGGGCAGAAGACCTCAGAATAACACAGTGTTAGTTAAACTGTGCAAGAAAACCAAAAAAACTGAGGGGGCTGGAGCTGAAGGGCAGTCTGCAGAATGTGAGTCGAAGACGGTGGAAGGAGAAGAACCTAGTCTGGTGTCAGGGGGAGGAATCCCACTGGATATCTTGGAGGAAATAGAGATAGATGGGGAGTGGACAGTTTCTCAGAATGGGACTGAACCTGGAGGAGAGGGAAGTGTCAGACAGAGGAGACAGGCCGAGGGCAACGGGACAGATGTAGATATCAGTTCGGGAGCCTCAGAAGATGGAGGAGTTGGGATGGAGATTGGAGAGCAGGCTGTGGAAAATGGGACTGATGCAGGTCCCAAGGGAAAAGCTGAGAAAAGGAGCGAAATGTCAAGTGTAAATAATGGGACACAAGGAGAGCTTGGCGAGAGCAATGAGATCTTACTGAACAGCAATCCGCTGCTGGACAAGAAAGTCTCAAGTGTGGAACCAACCAGTTCAGAAGAGATGGATAAAAACTTAATTCAGTCCGAACCTGAGCATCTCAAAGTGGATATGCCGGATCCGGAATACAACTACACTGTTGAAGACGACAACACACCAGGGCTTGATATGTCCTTCCAGTATGATGACTACAGCCAAGAGGTACTGTTTTCTGGTTGTTATGTACATTTATTAGGTGCATATCATTTCATATGTCAGAAACAAAGTGCAACAAATTGAAACTCTTCCCCCTCACCCATAGTAAATGTGAACTTTTATCACAGGTGAACAACCAATCAGGTATAATTGCCACAGATTACATGGACCTGCGCTCAGGGGAAGTCAGATATCGACACTACTACATTGCTGCAGAAGAGATCACCTGGGACTACGGCATCAGAAAACCACATCAACTCATCAAACCCAGGTAGGAATAATATTTCATCCAGGTTTCAGGACTTGCATTGTTTTACATTTTGGGCAATAGGCTTAGGAGTCAGGGGATGATTAGCTTAGCCTGGCTCAGTCTGAAGTTCAAGTGTCTGTGTTACTAATTAACATGTTATATCCCATTTGTTTAATCCATACACAACCAGAAATGTGAAAATGACAATTTGTGGTTTTATGCTAATCGTATTGGTCTCCCAGCCCCTAGATTTCTATCAATCTTCTCATCTCACTCTAAGCAAGAAAATCAGATACGTTACCCAAAATTCCCAGAAGAATTATTTTATGCTTTTTTATGCACTAACATGCTAAATGTTAGGATGTTACATTTGTAACACAGGCATCTGAATACAGATTTTTATACTGTTTTGGTGTCTGCATCAGGGTTTACACAGAGATGTTTTCTGTCTGAATCGCTGCAGAGTCTAGTTTCATTTCTTTGTCTAAATGTGGTGATGCTTTGGATGATTTTGTTCTTTTATACATAGAATTATTATATAGGATTTTCACAACTAGGTTTGGGGCAAAATCAACATGCCTTAACAAACAGTTGTTGTTAGTTGAGTTATTGGTCAAAGAACACAAAATGTTTCACAGTTACAGCAGAAAAATTTTAAAACCAACTCTAGTCAACATCTAAAGCAGCTGTATTGAATTAACTCCTGTCTTTAGAGAGATGCGTCGTGGGATGAGGAAGTTCCTTCCAGAGTATAAGAAGGTGGTGTTTCGAGCCTACAGAGATAAAGACTTCCAAGATCCTGTAGGCAGAGGAGAACTCCAGGAACACCTGGGAATCATGGGACCTTTCATCAGAACAGAGATTAATGATCTCCTCACTGTGAGTCATCCTGTAACTAAGCAAAATAAAAAAACAAAAACACTCTTCCACTTTGACAAGCTTTAGTTTTACTGTTTCATAAAAATAAAAAAAATTCAAAATACAACTAGATCATTAACTCAATCTTTTCCCTCTCTGTCTTATTCAAGGTGATCTTTAAGAACAAGGCATCCAGGCCTTACTCCTTTCACCTTCAGGGAGTCTATGACCGCAGCCAGGGAGCCGGCATGGCCCAAAGCCACGCCTCCTCCTCTCCACCCGGGATCCCAGGAGAGCCTGTGGCTCCCGGGGAGGCGCGGACATATAACTGGAGAATAACCAGGAAACAAGGACCAACCGACACTGAATTTGACTGCAAGACTGGGGCTTACTACTCCACTGTGGACAAGGTCTCTATAAGTCTTCATCTATAGCCTGTTACAGCCAGCTTTATCTTCCAGGGATATACAGCATACATTGTAGACTGTAATGTCTGTACTGTATATGTGATAATGTGATGAGTTCATTTTATTTTCATTTAGTTTACATTCACTGTTTGTAAGTTAATGACAAAAGTTCTCAAATTTGTATAAAAAAAAATAAGGAAGGAAGGAAATATTTATTTTCCATGTTTCAGGAGAGAGACCTTCATTCGGGGCTGATTGGTCCACTGGTGATCTGTAAGCCCGGTACCCTCCAGACTCGTCAGTACACGCAGCCAGACGTCCAAGATTTCTCCCTTCTCTTCCACACCTTTGATGAAACTAAAAGCTGGTACCTGGAGGAGAGCCTGCAGCGACACTGTGCTCCACCTTGTGAGGCTAACTCTGAAGACCCCTGGTACCACATCAGCAATAAGTTTGCAGGTGGAGACAATAAGGTTGATTGTTGGTGTCATGTTGTATTTGTTTTAGTTTTGTGATTTCTCTGAAATAATACCTGCGTTTTTCCATAGCAATAAATGGTTATGTGGCAGAGACACTTCCTGGTCTGATGGTCGCCCAGCACCAGCAAGTCAGGTGGCACCTGCTGAATGTAGGAAGTGACGGAGAGTACCACGCTGTACACTTCCATGGATTGCCTTTCACAGTTCACACCAAACAGGAACACCGTATGGGGGTCTACAACCTCTTCCCTGGTAAATACACACACATGTACACATTGTGTTTCATACTTATATACACATTCATGTTTTTACACTAGTTTCTGTTGTTTTCTTACCTCTGTTTGAAGGAATTGCACTCTTAAAAAACCTTATTCCTAACTATCATTTTGTGTATTGCATTGCTCCCTGTCATCCAGGAGTGTTTGGTACGGTGGAGATGAGACCCCCCACAGTTGGCACGTGGCTGGTGGAGTGCACTGTGGGAGACTACCAGCTGGCCGGAATGAGGGCTAAACTACTTGTCTATAATCCAAGTACGTACACAGTTCATGAAAGGATACCTATAAAACTGAAGTCCTGTCAGCCTCAGAGCTCTGAGATTCTGAGATTAGAAAACATAGCATACATAACATAGGATGCTAACATGCTAAACTTTAACATATTAAGCTATATCGGTAGAGAAGGGGTCTAAAACTCTAATTAGTTTGGGGACACTGCTGGTATTATATAATATTTTTGACATGTCGCAGGCCAGAAGGAGGGGGGTGGAGGGCCGGAAAAAGCCCCTTGGCTTGCAACACTAGGAACATTAAGCACTTGTCACTGCATTTTGAAGTTTCATCATCAGTTTCATTTCATCAGACTGTATGAATGAGGCTTTTCCCGCATTTTCCACACTTTAAAGTATTTTGTTATTGTGCAATTTTTGGGGCTTTTTAATTAATGAGGACTTCCTATATTGCTAGGTCAAATATCTGAGGTAAACCTGTAAAGTCAGACATGTCATAACTTCCAGAAATGTGATACAGACAATGTATAGTTCTGTACTGTCCAGTCGTATTAAGTGCACAGAAATGGAGTTGGGGAATTCTTGAAGTGATAATTACATACACCTGGAAATTTAACATGCGTTATTGAGCTTGATTTTTCTTGTATGTGACACGCAGAATGTGTCTTGCCTCTGGGGATGAAATCAGGAAGAATCGAGGATCACCAGATCACAGCATCAGATCACATTGGTAAGATAGTGTTTTTTTAACTAGGAAACACACCAAGAAGATTCCTCAATATCTGTCACACAAGAGGAAGTGCTCACCACAAATACCCAGTGCAGTGAAAAATAAAAATACCCTTGTCTTGTAAGCAGCTAGTTTGATTATAACCGTGTTTACACATCTGTGTCTAGATAACTGGCAGCCACGACTGGCGAGGCTGGATCAGTCTGGTTATATCAATGCCTGGATGGGCAGAAACAAGATGTCATGGCTACAGGCGAGACACACACCTTTCTTCTGTTAACATTTGCACAGCATTTTCTGTACATTATGCAGTGTCCAGTCTGCCAAATGCAAGATCTGAACTGAATATTCTTTGTAATTAATGTTTATGTGTGCCATTAGGTTGACCTTAAGAGGCCCGCCCTGCTGCACGGTGTGAAGACGCAGGGAGTCAGCGTAAAGCTGAGGGACAACCACATCACATTCTTCACCATCTCCTACAGCCTGGACCGGGAGACTTGGACCGAGTACAGAGGAAACAGCACCAGCCATACCAAAGTATGTCCTCTACTGTAGCACACACACAGTGTATACCTGTCACAGTTATTGGTTTCTTCAGGAAATGAGTTCCTCTGCACTGCAGCTGGAATACAGGCAGACATGAAACATGTAGCAGATAAATATAACACCTGACTACTGGCAGAATATGTCCTGTACTTATTTGGAATGACCTAAATATTTCATGGGTGAAAGCAGGTCCGACAATCTGTTTCCCTTCCCATTTTGGGAATTCTGAGAAAGATGGAAAATGTTCTGTTGCAAAGCACTTCATTTACTATTTTCTAAAGCTGATGAACACTTAATTATGTTCAATTTAAACAATCCCAGACAATTTACCTTTTAATTACCTGAGTAATGGTGGTAGTGGTTTAGTATTTTTTTCTGATAAACTACCAATCCCTTTTGGCTGAAAATTGACCCCTTACCAGCAGTCAGCCATTGTTTTCAGTTTGTTTTAGAACAGTATTAAATCAACTTGAGTCTTGAAACATACTAAAGATTGTTATTCTGGTATTTGGTAAATTTGGTAAACATTTTGCCTCCTTTATACCAGAGGCTTCCTCCAATCTTGGAAATCTGCCTAAAAACATGTGCGTCAGTATGAGCTGAAGAATGCTTGGCAGCTGTTCATTTGTAGAGTTAAATTATGAGCTGAACTGTGTGTGTGACTTTGTTTTAGGTATTTTATGGCAACATGGACAGCTCCAGGGTGAAAGAAAACCACTTCATTCCACCATTTGTGGCTCGCTATGTCAGGATTCATCCAGTGGACTTTAAGCAAAGGCCTGCTCTTCGACTGGAGCTGCTGGGCTGCGATCTCAACAGTGAGTTTTACCTACAGCAGCAGAATATTGCAGAGTTCATTTTACTGTATGAAAATAGTAAAAATGACTTGTGTGTGTTTGTGTGTGTGTGTGTGTGTGTGTGTGTGGCAGGCTGCTCTCTCCCTCTCGGGCTCCAGAACAGGCAGATTCCTGACAGCAGCTTTAGTGCTTCTTCATCGTACACATCTCTGCTGCGTAACTGGCCCCCGAAACTCGCCCGCCTCTATCAGGAAGGAAGCACCAACGCCTGGAGGCCAAAGGTGAACACAGATACACAGATACGCAGATACTACACAGTTATGCTAAAACTCAAACTTTCACTGGGGTAGCGACAGTCTCTCTCTTCTCTTGCTGCTGCTACGGCACCCTGACTTTGTTTAACTACTGTCATTGTTAACACCTGTGTTTACCCTACTATTTCATAGTCAAATTTGCTGCTGTGAAAAAGGTCTATCTTAATAATATCCTGTAGAGTGTGAATGCATGTTTGAAATGAGTGGGAATAACTTTCAAACTTGGTTAGGAAACTCCTGTAGTCTGAGCCCGGCTTTAGATTAGCTTTGCATGAAGATTGAAAGAAGGGGGAAACAGCTTGACTACTCATCAACAGCTCATCTGGTTTTTCTGTGTGCAACCACATTATGTCAGTGGAAAAAGGATTCACTGCCAGAAACATTTTCCTAGTTTATAAGTTTACTAGTTGTGGGAGAGGAAGTGGTTTGGAGTTCCCTTTGGCCATCCCTACATCTGTTTTCTTTTCTTTTTTCCTTTGCTTTAACTACTTCTATTTCATCAGAAGCTGGTATCTATTTCTGTCGGTTTCATAACATTTCCCTTCACTTTATTTAATGCTCATTACTTTTGTATTTCCAGTAATATTTACACAATAATCATAATCCCATGTTCTTATAGTTCTTATTTGGAAACAATCAATATGATGCTGTAGTTGGTTTGGGAGTGAATGATCAGAAAAAGAAAATGATTAAGTTAGATTAGTTTTAGTGCAGACTCCATGGACACCAGTATACCTGTTTGTCTTTTTTATGTGTGTCTTTTTTCTTTTATATCAGTATTTTCCTTTCTGTGATCTAAAAATGTGTCTCCCCTTTTTACCCCAGAACAACAACCCCCACGAGTGGCTGCAGGTTGACTTGGGGAAAATAAAGCGCATCACGGGGGTCATGACCCAAGGGGCACGATCACTGTTGACTCAAATGATGGTGACAGAGTTCTCAGTCACCGTCAGCCATGATGAACGCTCCTGGAGCAGTGTGTTAGAGGAGGACTCCCAAAGAGAAAAGGTACACTTACGAGGATTTCAACACAGTTTTTTCAATACATTTGGGCAAGTCTCAGAGTTGCTGCTAATATGATCCAGGTTCCTGCCTCCAGTTTTCACTATAGCTTCATAAAAAGAGTCCATAAAGGTCAATGACTAATATTTACTCATTTCACTTATTCCTTCATTTAATCATTAATACAGGATAAACTATCTCACAGTTTCCTTCACCGTTACAGATGGATGAGTCACTCTGTAATATGGAGCTGACAACTCACCAAAAGAATCCTGTGAAAGTGTGTTTTCATGTTTTAGTGACACAGAGTGGACTGAATGCTGCTATGATTCCTGAAAAAACCCTGAAGAAATTCCTAAACGCACATCTGTTGAACTCTAACTCATAGGCCTGTGCATAAGGATGTATTTATCTAATCTAATCTTTAAATTGTGTCCTTCAGTGTTACTTTATTACTGTACCTGCACTCCCCTCTTTTCCCTTTCTTAATGTGTTTCTTCCCCTTTTCCTTCCGCAGATCTTCACAGGAAACAACGACTCAGATGAGGAGGCTCTCGCCGTTTTTGATCCTCCTCTGTTCGGCCGCTACCTTCGTATCCACCCGCGGGGTTGGATCAACGACATCGCCCTGCGTCTGGAGGTCCTGGGCTGCGACACACAGCAGGGGCTCTGACACCACCAACCCACCAATGGCATGCAGCGACATTTTAGGAGCACAATGTATCTTGGTTTCATTTTGGAGTTGTAACTTCGGTTAGTGATTAAAAATGTAACACTGTTATGTAGAGCACTTGTTAAGTTATATATTACATGTAGCTGTTGGTATAAGAGGAAATAGTTCTTCCACCACTTTGTTTACATTTCTTCTTTTGGTCATTTCATGCAGAAAAAGAGCAAAGAATCGTGTTTTATGTTGACAGAAAAACATTTATTTTAAGATGAGTTACACATTTTTACTTCCCTTTGCAGTACACAGCTGTGCTAACCACAGAACAAACCTTTTGAATGTGAGCGTGTGTAAATATTTCAGACTCAGATGGATGTATAAAGTTTGAAAAGTCAATGTATATTGTTGGAAAAGTTTGTATTAATGTATTTTTCTGCTTTATTACAATTTATATAAACAATGAATCCTGAAGGGTTTCTCTGACAAATTCTTGTGCTCACAAACACAAAAAACACACATCTCGTTTCAGCTGATAGCAAAATTCAAACAATAGTGCATGCTTTCGAAACTCTTAACCAAGTTCAGGTGGGTATTTGAACACGGACAAACAACGACTTCCAAGCTGTGATAAACACTTCTCACTGCTTCCTGTCCTGTTCTTCATTTCCATGTCAGGAAAGTTGCACTTTCTCTCTTTGCCTTTGTTCTCTTCCCTCTTTCCAGCATATTATCTCTGTTCTTTCTGCGTTCCATCTGTCTTTAGTCCAAAATGTTCCTGAACTGTTATTCTGGCTTATCCACCTCCACCAGGCCCTCCCTGCAGAAACAATGAGCGACTGTGCTCCAACATTGTTCTGTTACGAGTTAAAATACGTGGGGCGGGAAAAACAAGTAAGTTCACAGATGAGGATGAATTGAAGAGGTGACTGGAAGGGAAACAGTAACAACAACAAGGTGTGTGCATGCTTGTGTCTTTGAGTTGTATGTTTTGGGCCTGACTGTGTGAAGCATGAAAACAGGAGCAGCGCATTGGTGGGTCCAACCAAACTTTTATCACCTCTTTATCAGCGCAGGAAGTTTCCAGGCAGTGGTGGTGTGTTTCGTTTGGAGGACAAAGTCAGGACATGTGTTGGCAAAGACAGGGCAGCAGCACATTCTGCCTGGCAGTCACATTTTAATCTCTCTGGAAACAATAACACTCTGTCCCTAATCTCTGCAACAGACAGAGCACCTGTATGCGACTGAATAATAGTAAATACACATGATCTGAAACAAGTGAAACAGAGGTGAGCAGAGGCCATGTCCTGCTGCCCAAGTGTTGTATATCTGCTGCTGGGTTTGTGTCCGCAGCGTGCAAAAGAGGCAACAACAACAAATATAGGCCAGTCACACACAGTGGAGACAGTGTGGGAGCTCAAACGTATTGAGGCTTATACATGATTTACTCACCATTTCAGAGTTTGCATATACTTCATTTTTTTCCAGCTAGATTCATTTTCTACCCTCAAGGCAGCCTCTGGTTTCAGTTTGGTCCTGGAAAATCAACACACAGAGACACTAAAGGCAGCTTGAAAACAACATTGCTTTAATCAATGATTTACTATCATGTATAAAATAATAAAACTACAGAAAACAGTGAAGATGCTTTTCAGAATTTCCCAGATTCCAGGTTTATGTCTCCAAACCAGTTATTATAGTTTTGTGTTTTTTATTAGGTTTTTGTTTTTAATTTTTGTTTTCAGTTCAGTTTAGTTTCAGTTGGGTTTGTATTGTTCAAAAATGTTAAGTTTCATTGTTAGTTTTTTAATATATATAGTTTAATATGAGGGGTATTAGTCAGGGGCAATATTTTAGAAGTTCAGAATAGGTATTACATAAGAAACACTTTGTGAAGGTAGTTGATGAGGCAATTTGACCAAACTGACAAAGACTAAAACTAAAGACATTTTCTACAATATTTTTTCACACCTAGATTTAGTTTTTAGTTTAGTTTTAGTTAACTGTAATAACCTTGCTCCAAACTGTCGAGTCCAAGACCCCAAAAGTATTATTAGACATTATTATTATTATTATTAGCCAAGTGTTCCATTCGAGAAGCTGGAACCCGAGATCAGATTATCAAAGCTGTTGTTGTAAACAAAATTGATCAAATTGATTTAATGACTAATCATTTCAGTTAATTCAGGTGTAAGCACAAACTCCTCATGTTCACGTGTTTGTGTGAAACTTAATCCCAATTTCAACAGTATTTGAAATTGGTACAATAAAAAGTAAAAAGTAATTGTTACCCTAAAGGGAAGTAACCAAAATGAATGGCAATAATGACAAATACATATTGTAGATTTTTTGGTTAATGGGCTAAAACTCGTCATCAACCACAAAGTTCCTTTTATGAGTGGTACCCTTCTCCTTTCTTCTTCTCGCAATTTGCAACACAACAGAGGTCAAATGAAGACAAATCTGTTGAAATATCTGTACATATTTCAGAAAAAATGCATACACTTTCATCATCGCCAGTTGTTAAAGAAAACATATTTTATTTATTCAAAGAATATGTGTATTTTTTACCACCCACAAGGAAGAGGACAACCCTTGGGGATTGACAACGACAACCAAGTCAGTCAAGTAGCACCAAGTGTAGTGAAAACATGATCATTAATCTGGAGTTTCAGATTCTAAGCCATATGTGAATGATTGCCACACTTCCCTCTGTCACAACCTGCTAATATGCAACAACAGTGTAAAGCAATCTAGTTCTCTGTTGGCATCTACCAACAGTGAGGAAGTGCTGCGAAGTGGCAGGAAGGAAAACAGTCACACAACAGAAAAAATGACCAAAATTTTATCACCATCTCTTACATCACTTCCTTGCCATGGCCCTAATTTCCCCTGAGGGCCCAGAGGCCCCTTGATGTAAGATAAAACAAACCAGAAGTAGACCTTTACTTCTTCTTGGTGACACTTACGATACCAGTGTGTGTGTGTGTTCTCAGGGCAATAACACTAGTTAACTTCCTGAAAGCATCATATTTTTTAATACTCCAAATGTACTAGTATGGAGCATGACACAAGGTGGGGTGTTTTCAGGGACACTCGAGATACCCTTGGACCTAGAAAAAACTGTTAAAACTCACTTGTTTATTGTGAGATTGTTTTTTGTTTTGTTTTTTGTGAGTGGATACATAAATCAGGTCTCTCCAATTATGAAGCTGTAGTCAGACAAGACCTGTTTGTGATTATTATCTACTTGTAATTCTCTACCCTAAACCAGTAGTTCTGAACCTGAGGTCAGGAGTCTTTGAAGGGGTTCCAGTGGACCCCCAGAAAAATGGGGAATATTTTAATTTCACTGTTGTTTCATTGATTAAAACACAGTTGCCCAGTTTTCAATTTCAAGTTCCCTTTACTGACTTCCTGTGCAAAGTGCATGTTCAGATAATGAAAAGTAATTACTCATTATGGAGCCTACATATTTACGTTTTTACCCCACAAAAAATAATAAACAGCGATTCATATTATCATGAATTTGGAGGGTCCTTAACACCAACAAGGTTAAGAACCACTGCCCCAAACCAAGGTGGGAGAAATATGTGAACCAGAGTGAATATTTATTATTTATTTGAAATGTCTTTGACTCACGTTTTGAAAAGATAAACTTCTTAAATTGCAGTCATTTTTTATTCTTTGTTAGCATATTAGTTTCTTATGCAGCAACACACAGAAATACAGTATATTCCAAATCATTGGCTTTGAACTCCATTAACTCTTTATGGCCTCAGATTCTGGAGCACCTTGTAAGTCCACATGCTTTAACAATCAATATTCACAGAAACTAGGGTGGAGGGACCCCTGCTGGACAATTGACAGCGTTACATGAGTTTCCTGCACTGTATGGAGGCACCTATTGGCCAGTATGTATAACCACAGAGAGAATCTACATTTGCACATTGTATCCATTTAACACATTGCCTTTAACCCTAAAGTTCCTCTGGTTATTTGACTCAATGCACAAACAACTGAGGCAGAATATTATATAGCCTAAAATAACTATTTTGTACCAATGATTTTAGAATGAAACAGAAGCGAAACACACAGAGGCCTAATAAACATAAAAAATATCCACCTTAAGAAGTTAAGATTTTCAGAATTACATTAAACATTATCTGGCTGTCTGGTCGAGGGTGCTTCTGTCGGTTACCAGCTTGCATGTCTTTGTTCTCGAGACAAGGGGCTATGTCAAGAGCTCCATCCAGGTGGGCAATAGTGCCTTAGTTTATGCAATCAGGTTAAGGTTCATTCAGTAAAAGGTTACATTGTACAGGAGTCAGCTCGGTCAGACATAAGGGAAATTAACATGATTACATGTGCATGATCCAACCAACACTTACAGAGTTGCTTAATAACATGATTTTCTTTTTATGTATAGGGCCACAGTTAAGGCTAAAAATAAATCACTTGTTGAGGTTCTCTTTGAGCCCAGGGACTAGGCTCAACAAGTGATTTATTCTTTGCCTTGCGACATGTACACAGTAGTTCCCTGTATGTACATAAACAGCTCTGCTGCTTGGAACGGATTCAGTGGAGCGTGATCTTTGAGATTCAGCATGATTGGCTGCCTGGCTGTGAGATACTGAGGTTAAATAGGGGAATGGGGAGTCAAGGGAGGACTTCATGCCTGACTCAACAACCATGTTGCTGTGGTGATAATGAGCAGATCAAACGCAAGAGTATTGCGTCTCTCCTTTGACTTGTGCCGTTGTGTCGTTGCTGTGTCTTTATGCATCCAAAAGGGGTTAATCTCCAACATGATTGCCTGTCAAGAGCAACCCAAGTATGTGAGTGGAAGTGGAGCAGTTGAGGACTGAAAACACACAGACAACAAAAGAGTGACTGGCAATGACAGCATGGGTTGTTTTCATATTACATCTTTATTGTTGGTTTGATAGAAAAAATGTGCCTCTTTTGATACAGATTCAAAATTACTTTGACAAAAACACAAAAATTACATTAATTTTTTCTAGCAGCATGACTTAATTTCAGATCTTGCGGCATCACTGGCTTTGTTAGAACATTTTGTAAAATAACTAAAAGAGAAGTAGGCTATGTATTTATATTTTTAAAAAATAGCTTGTGTAAGGAGGACAGAGGTTTAACTGCAGCAACCTTACTGGAGGTTAAAGAAGGAAAGTTTAGCAGAGCCCCGCACTGAAATATTCCTCATATTTCAACATGTAAGGCTGTGGGAAGGCCAAGGCCGAACTGTTGCACTGGTGACCATACAGAAATACAAATGCAGATACATCACCAGAAAAAGGCTGGAGTATTTATAGCTGTGAAAACATGATGCCTACAGTCAAGATAATGAAAAATATGCAGGAATAACACTAGGGTTCTACAACATATGGATCATATAACGGCTTATACATTATTCAGGTGCGTGACTAAAATCAATTAAAAAAAAAGTTCCTTCACACACAATTCAAAAATGATGACTGGTACTGGCAACAGCACTGAAAAAGTATTCTTGCTGGAAGAGGTCCATATGAGGTGCTGACTTTTTGCAAATCACGGCTCAGCTTCACAATATATAGACCTTCAGCTATCCAGTTTCACAGATTGTTTGTACAGTTTCAGGCTGAGGAAAAGCATGGCGGGTGAACGGTAAGCGGCGGTTGAGATCAGAGGAGCAGAGAAATGGTAAATTTGCAGAGTAGAATAACAAGGCTCAATTTTGCAATGTCTGACTTCAAGTCAAGTGGGGGGGGGGGGGTTCTGCCAGAGGAAAAAAATCAATTGAGGTTCGAGGTCAGGATCTGTTTTCTGGCAGGTGACCGATACATAAGAGCAGTAAATTTAAGCAAAACGCTAACCCTAACCCTGAATAAAAATTAATTAAATGAGTAAATATGACACATTAACTATTAAACAGACAACATAAACATGTTGGTTTTAGTTAATTTGACCTGTTCTGCATTAAATTTGGAAGAATGTAACACAGGACAGTTTAATAGTGCCTCCTAGCTTAATCTTGCCATGTGTAAGCCAGGGTCTGATATGAGCCTTTTTAATGTGCCAAATGTGCTTCTCTGTAGCTCTGACCTGCATACTGTAGGTGAAGAAAAGCAAACACAGGAGAGAAACGTTAAGTTTTCACCATTTTAACTGTCAGGGAAAAGTCCAATAACAGCTCAAAAACATTCTAATTATAAAAACAATAAAACATGTAGTAGTGTTAGTAGTTTAGGTAAGGGGCTACTGTAGGTTCAGCTGGGCCTTAAACTACTGCAGGCTACAGCTGAGAATGCTACAGGAGACAAATGCAAACTTGGGGCATCCAAGTAAACATTTATCGCTTAGAGTTTGACATGTTCAGACTTCAGAAGGTGAAGCGGTCACAGGACGTTGACCACGAGCCCAGCGACGCTGCATAGACGAAAATTTTGGCAAGCCAAACACTGGTTCAGCACACATCATGCAACCATCCAGACGTACTGTGTCATTCTTCATTCATTCAGCTCCTTCACTTTTATATATTATTTCAAATCTGAACACCAACCCCATAGTTCTTTTCTTTTTCCAGTAGTCATTAAAATGTATTACTAAAAACACCAACAAATAAAAAACAATTATGAAAAACAAACTAACACAATAAAAACAATTCATGGTTAATTAAAAACCATTACAGAGTATTTAAAGTACATATGTTGATACATGTTTCTAATAAAAAGGAGCACTCAAGCTGCTTCTAAGCAGAAACTGAGTCGGGATGGAGGAGGCCGTTAAGAAAAGATCCAAGATTGTCAATGACTATAGTGAAAAGTCACGTTAAGATCTGAAAAATTCACTACACAAGCTTTGCAGTTGTGTCTCAAATCGATCAACTCTGGTCAAATCTGGGTCTGCTGTATCACAGCGGTTCAGTAACTATAAGGCAGGTTTGTTTTAAAACTGCTGTGACTCATATGTCTTGCTTTTTACTCCTTGTGTCTACTTCAAAAATATCTTTTAAAACAACAGTGATGTTAAGCCATAAGCTGACAAGGAGACGACATATTCAATACAAAAAAATAAAATAGTATCAGTTCACAGTCAAAAAAACACTAAAACTGAGCAATTCTAGTCAATTTTGAGACGGATACATTTCGTGCATAGTAACACAACCTTCTGCAATCGTTTGCAAAAGGCTGAGGTCCTCCAATATGGCTGCCAGAGGATAATGCCTCTGTAGTAGTCTTCATTCACTCATTCATTTGCCAGATTGTGGGACTTCAGTGACACAGGACTCTAGTTTGACAACAGTAAACTAGTGCAACTTATAAGTAACACTCTGGGCTTTTTTTTTTCAGTGGAGCAGAAACACAATTTTAAGTTAGTGCAGCAGAATATGAATTTATCACCAAATGTTGCCTCTTTATTTCATCTCTGTAAAAATATCATCTTTACATCGCTGTGCAAATAACTGAAAATCAGCTCTTAGGAATATATGTTTCTGATTTTACATGCAGTTCTGCGGTTTTATAGAAAGCATCTCCTGCAACCTTCATAACACAAAACAATTAATAAATTAAATACATTTCACAGTTAACCAGTATTTATTTAGCAGGAGGGCATTAACACTTAAGAAACAAAATACTGTAAAATGGGTCACTTTGAGCAATGAGGAAGAGGTTTCCTTATTTTTAAGAGTGAACTGGGCTCAGAGTTTCTGCTCAGATCACTGTGCAGTAGCTCCATGTTCAGGTGGTTAGTTTTGTTTGGAGGCTGATGAATCTTAAAATTTAATGCAAACTTAGCTATTTAGTTAGCTCACATGGCTGATCTGTGGACAACTCATGCAGCCCAAAATGTAACACTACCCCAGTCAAACTAGAGGCCTATGTTTTTTGTTTTGAAGCTTTAATTACTGTATAAAACTACACTGCTTATAATTAAGTGCCTCTTTAGTTAAGTTTTATCTTTAGTTAAGGACATTAAACATTTATATGACTGCATTTCCTCAATCACAGACAAATAAATTAGGCTGTAATGAAGATAATGATAATGTGTAGTGTAAGCGTTAAGAGAGTCCAGGAACAGTGAGGATCAAAAACAAAGAAGCATACGGATATGAAGGCAAAATAAGGAAGGATCAAATCTCTAAACTGATTTTGCACCAACTGTTGGATTACGAGGAATGGAAGTTTGACCTTTCCACAGTTCTGTGGTGCCTAAACAGACACTAACAAGGTTTCAGAGAAAGTGAGGTTGATTGAAAACAGGCGTTTGGCAGATTTGTGGCTCTGAGAACGGTTCAGATTGAAACAAACCAATACACAGAACGATAAAGTAATGAAGAATGTCAACAGGTTCCACTAGATTGCTGAGGATTGTTTGATTACTGAGGTATAGGTGTATGTTGTCCTATAGCATTACCCCCCAAAAACTACACTCAGCAGTGAGGTTTGTGTAGCTTTTAGGCTCTAAAGTGTAAGTGTAACACAGAAACTGACTGAATAATGGCAGTGAAAGCAAAAAGGGGGATGGACAGAAAGGAATACCACCTGAACACCAGAGCATTTCCTTCCTTGCTGTGTACCAATTCCCCTCTCTGCTATTCAGTTATGCATATAACCACAGAGTGTAACTCGAACAGTCAATTATTGCAGCTCTACTTCACATCTGTTCATTAAAGTTCATTGTTCAAGAGAACCTGTAATCTAAGATTGCAGAGGTAAGTGGTCCAAATGTTTATGAAACATAATAACTGCAAACTGTCCTTTCAACAAGGCTGTGATGTTTTGTTAAATTACTACACACAGTGAGTGATGCCCTCGTAACACAAAGCTAAACCGAAGCAGCAAATTGATTGAATTATCTGTAAAATGGCCTCACCAGGGTTTAGGCCATTTGGCAGCTTTAATCTCAGTAGTCCCCTCTCGTCGATAGATTGTAACATAGTAGTTTCATATTATGTAACTGCTCTACCATCAAAAATGTAGGTGCAGTCAATGCGCAGAGGAAAAGTGTGGAATAAAATAATACAAAATGCCTTTTTCTTAAGTTGGCAAAAAACTGTGCTACCAACAGCTTTCAATCTCCCGTTAGGCCTGCATGATTCCAGCGCTTTCCAACTGAACGAGTATACAGTGTGCACACTACAAGAAAACTATTCTGGATTATATATTTAAAGCTGTAACAAACACAGTTTATGTGGATTTGTCTAGCACCCTGCTAAAACTTTAAAAAGGCCAATAAAAACTGTTGATGATTGGAAAAGACAAATGCTGATAGTTAAGGCTGTAGAGACTCATAAGAAGACTTTGTATCAACTGAAGTGTAACGTTTCATTAATTCAGGTAGCGGATGCCCCACTTTCACAACTCACCCCTACCGACTTCGACTGCATACGTTAACCTGCCACAAACTGGAAAGTCACTGACCTATATTAAAAACCGTGACAAAAATGTAACACCCTACGGTTCATCTCATACGAATCAGCAGCTGCCACAATCACACATCAATCACACATCTGGCTCCCGTGCAGGCAGGCCTGTAGAGAAGTTTAAGTTGTTGAAGTTTTTGGACCCTGGGTGTGAGTACAGTGTGTTACAGTGCACGGTTGAGTTGAGGTGATTGTGTCTTGTGGCTGATCTCTCAGAAGATGTTTCTCTTGTCACAGCAGGAAACAGCAGGATAGAAATGCAAACCTGCAAATCACTCAAGAGGAGATTGTGTTTCCGCTACACAAACTAAATAAAAATGCATTGTGTTAAAAAAAATTAGATATATGAGGTACTACATAAAGATAGCGTGAATTTATCCCTTCATTAATTCTTACTTTATATAGCTCTTATCTTTAACAACGTGTTTATATAGAATCTAAAAACAAAGCATAGTGTTTTTCACAGCTTCAAAAAGCTATGGTAGCAAGATAAAACCTGTGAAATCAGAAACTACCGCTGTCAGTTAAAATCTCTTATTTCTTTCCTCTTGGAGGTATGTGTTACTACAGAGTCCCCGCGGATCAGACAATCCGAGCTGAGACTGTGTTGTGCTTATCCTCCTTAAACGTGTCCATCATCCCACGCTGATGTGCCTTCTTTTTCGTCCTCTTCGTGGCTTCTAAGCCAGAGCGCCCTTTTCGATTTCTCTCCACGTGAAAATAACAAACAGACATTGAGAGTCCAGGAGGGTGAGAGGGTTAAAGGTCAGCCAACAGGAAGTCCATGGTTGGGAGCTCTGGTTGGGAGGAGGGCGATCTAAGGATGAGAAAAATGTGCTGGTGGGCTGAATCCCTGAAAAAATAAAAAAAGTAAAATATAAGCAAAATACGTATGCATGCACATACTTCCTGATGAATGCACATGATCTGTTTTTGATTTGTATAAAAATATGTAACCTTTGTACGTAGCGACTCAGATGTGTGTTTCTACATCAGTGTAGCCAGGCAGGATGTCTCCATTGGAGCAGCTCTTGGACTCCCCCGCTGGTTGGGCGGTGGGCAGCATGTGGGCAGTTGTGGACGTCTCTTCAGGTGACGCTGCCTGGCCTCGCTGGAGCCTGCGGTGTATCAGGGGCACAAAGAACAGCACCACGCCCCCCACCATAGGAGGAACCCCAGCCAGGGAGAAGGCCACCGTGTAGTTCCCAAAGTAATCATGTAGGAGACCTGGGCAGTGGTGGCAGACAGATACTTGTGTTTAAAAAAGACTAAAGAGAAGGATACTCATTGAAAAATATGCTTTAAGCTCACTTTTAGTTTAGCTTAAAGTCTGGAAGTGGGGTTAAACAAATAGCCTGGCTCGTCAAAAGTCTAAAATACACCAACCTGCACCTCTAAAGCTCACTAAATAACATCTTATATCTCGTTTTTTGTAACCGATACACAAACAGAAATGTAAAAATGGCAATGTGTGGTTTTAGGGGGAGTTAATTCTATTTTTGTATATATGATATTAGAAATTTTATAGAAAAATATTTTTTTTTGATGACTAAAGTTCTGTCTGTAGCAGGATGTGTTATAGAGGTCTATGCACAGCCACGATGATACCGCAACCTAACTGATGACAGGAGTCCTGATACTCTTGCACCCGGTTATTGTCCGCTAAGAGTAACGGCACTTAACTCCTCCTAAAACACCAAACATACTGTATACCATACTGTATGGTTACAACAGATACAGCATGTTAATGTGATTTGGAGTCTGAATTTTGAAGTCTGGAGAGAGCCAGTCTTGCTGTTT